TTCATTTACTTCATTATATACACTGTATATATACTTCATTTTATAAGAATTGTATAATTGCTATATGCATTCTATTAAGCAAAATAGCAACAATAACATGTTAATAATGATAATAAATACACACAAACAATTAAGTCACTCATAATAATAATAATAATAATAATAATAATAATAATAATAATAATAATAATAATAATAATAACAGTTTTACATTATACTTGTATAAAAAATAAGGATATTAATTATGGAAGAGAGAGAGAGAAGACAAAAATAATTTATAATATAACACATAATTATGGATAATAAAGTAACAGAGAGATGTGATTAAGAAAAAAATAAAGGAAGAACTCGGTATAAAAATAAATTAATTAAAACTTTATGACATAATATATACCGGATGTTCTCTTTCGCGAGCGCCTGCAACTTTCCGCTTTTAAAAATATAAAATGTTTATTATTTTTATTTTCTGGTCTACCCTGATCCTTAATTATTGGCACTGCTACTTTGAGTGGAGCTCTTCTGTCTATTGCTTGGTTTGATGTCGGTAGATCTATCCCACAGTGACTGCATAAGAAAATAAGTACAGGAACAATTTTGTATACACATAAATCAATATGACATGTACATGTATACAGTCAAACCTGTCTATTCAGGACACCTTGGGACCCAATAATACCCTAGCTCCTGATTATAAACCTGTCCTTATTTCAGAGGTTCATTAATACACACTTGTATTGGGACTGATACTACCTGTCTATTCCGGACACCTTGGTACCCAATAACACCTTCCTGATTATGAACCTGTCCTTATTTCAGAGGTTCATTAATACACATTACTATTGTATTGGGGCTGATACTACCTGTCCTGATTATAGAGGCCTCTTTATTTTAGAGTGTCCACAATAGCAGGTTTGACTATACAATGTACATGTACTGTACATGTGAAATTTAACACTTGCAAACTTGCAAAATTGTAAGAATGACATGGAGCATGTGACATTTCTTTGCTTCTAGCTTGCAACAAGTAGATAGCTTACCTCGTCTGTCTCCACATCAGCAAAGTTGTTGAATACGCCCATAATGTTTGGATCAGGATGAAAATCCTGACCATATTGCCTGAAAAAGAGAGAAAGAGAGAGGTGATACAGATATGTACAATAATTTAGAGTGCTCTTGAATATAGTATAAATTAAATGTAGTTTTAATTTTCCCGTTTTCTTAACTATAATAAATAATTTCTGACTGAGTCTTTTTACATTAACAATCATCTTGTACAAGGATGATTTTTAATTTCTCTATTTGGACTCTATTTGGACTTCTGAGTGTTGCTATGTTTTAAGTAATTCTTTGATTTTGTTCTATATTTCAGTAATAGTTAACGTACAACTAAATCCACATGCTACTACACCAGCTACAAGCAACAAGTGTCCATGTTCAAGTTTACTTTGTCTGTGAGAATCTGATGTGGTCAACTGATCTAAACTGCTTCCATCTCTTACTAAAGTTGACACTCACTCCGTCTTCCAGCTTACTCGGCTGCTCCTCGAGGAATGTCAAATCTTGCAAGTAGAGACCACTGCAAAGAAATAATCGAATAACATACAGCAATACTACATGTAGGTAGCGGACTTCTTTTGTTTGATCAAACTTTTGTTCTTTCTATTCTCTTTTTAGTTACAAAAAGAAAAATTGAACATAAAGTAGGAGGGGATGGTCTTTTCGTAAAGTTGTATTTTCCCCAAGTTTGATCCAACAAAAGAAACCCACTTGTGGTGAAGTTAAATCTAAATTGATCACAATTTCTTACATGTATGGTATGCAGGGCGGTTTAGTTTGTGAGAATGCTTGACGATAGTTCTTGAATGAGCCACGGGAATCAATCAACGCCCTCGGCTCCTCTAAAGTCTACAATAAAATATAATAATATTAGGCTTTATAAATTAATTATAATTAACAATAAGAATATGATAACAGCCTTTATAAATTACAAATGCAATACTGTAATAATCAATATAGAAACAATACTAGGCTTTATAAATTAAATACACATTAGGCTTGATAAATTAATTAGAATAATAATAGATTCAGTCTTGGATTAATTACTTTTAATATTTTCTCTGACCAGTCAAGTCGTGAAACTGGTGCACTCTCAATTGCCGAAAGTATTGCTAGGTAAGCATTGAAGTTACCAAATTCTCTTAATGACTATAGAGAAGAGATTTAAGGTCATAAAATGAAGTTGTACTTTCTGCTTTACCTTCATTACACTGATAAAGTATACCATAAGCTTTTCTCTCTTTTTCCATTCCAGATCCTTCTCCAATAGCCTACTCTTAGTCCTAGTGAAAATAAAATAAAATAAAATAAAGAAATAAATAATATACATGTATGTACATGTACATGTAATTTAACACTACTAATAGTAGCTAAACATTAATAAAAGTCCTGGATGTGTACAGTACATGGTGTCCAGTTTTATTGCATGATCTGTGTTATTGTTATTCTGACTAGTTATTTCTCTCTTTAACGCTGCCTCTCTACAAATGGTTTGACACATTAACTCATTTTAACACTAGTATAGCTGGCAACAAACTTTGACCCCTGACATCAAAATAGCTTGAACCTTACCCTACATGTACATGTACCTTTAATGTATGTGTACATGTACATACACATGTATATACTGTAATTATTTTATCCTCTCTCCCGATCTCTTTCTTTAATCTTTCCATCGTTCCCCATTCCCCCATTTTTTCT